CTTGGTCCAGGGTCTCTCTTTATGTCTCTCTTGAGTCTGGATCAGTCTAATTGGGTATAATTTTAAAAAAAACCCATTGGGCAAAGGTATCTTCATAGATAGATAGATAGATAGATAGATAGATAGATAGATAGATAGATAGATAGATAGGACTATCGATAGGGTTAGATTTCAGATTTAGCAGTGTCCAAAATTAATCTGTGGAGTGAATGGCTTTGTATTTGTTCTAGGTTAGGATTGATGATACCAAACATGTTCAGTTCATACTTTATGCTGAGTTATAGAGTTTGGGGTTTTTTACTATTGTGGCATGAACCCACTGTTTAGTGTTATATGTGGACTAGACCATTATGGCTTATTCTTGATTAGCATTGTATGGTGAAACTGTAGTCTACTGATGAGTAAAAATTTAAATAACAAAATAACAAATAACAAAAGCACTAACCATTTAAGTGTCATTGTCAATCTTATTTTCAAATTGACTTATCTAGGTCTATGGAGCCAGGTTTAAAAACATAGGATGTTGTCTGTGTTGATGGCTTCAAATTTCAATTCTGTAGCTACAAATTATGAATCATAGCAAGGAGTGAAGGATGCTATTAAAAGGCTAAAGTAGAGTTTGTAAATGTTAACCCTACTTTGAAAGGCTCTTACAATTTTTGAAGCAGACTTTATACCTGATTTTCTGTTCAAAAAAGCAGAAATGTATTTGTGCATGTGTGATGAAACAAAGCAGTTTGGTGATAGTTACTGTCTTTGTAAGAGAAATATTGAAATAGCTGTTTTTATGTTCTTCAGTTCAGAGGAACATCAGTTCTTATTTCTAAGATACTGGACTGATGTAGCTGAAGTATAAAGAGCCAACAGGGTAAAAACCATTGATAGAGTTTACTCTGTTCCATGATTAACGGGAGTCGTGCAGTTGTATGCATGCCTGCTCAGAAATAGGCCACTGTTTGCATTCATAGTAGCTTCTACTTTTGCAAAATACAGTGGTACCTCTACTTACGAACTTAATCCGTTCCATGACTCTGATCGCAAGTCGAGGTGGTCGCGAGTC